TAAGGCAGCGTTCAGACTTCGCGACGGCAGCGCTTCGGTCGCGCGTTCGACGCGATCGATGCGCATGCTTTCGACTGCATTGATCGCGTCGAACGCGCGACCGAAGCGCTGCCGTCGCGAAGTCTGAACGCTGCCTAATCTGCAGGAGCCTGTCGACTGGAGCACCGGATTCCAGCTGGACTACGAAATTGTAGATATTTGTAGATTTTTGGTTAAAAACTGCTTATTGCAACCATCAGGGACCTACGTGCATAGTCCCTGGCGCGCGCGACGTCGCAGCGGCGCCCGCCAGCGCGGCGAATCGCGATTTTCTTGTCCCATATCCCTTGCAGTGGAGCTACACTTCTGCGATCCTGCGCACCTTGCACTTGCAAAAATCCACATCTTCAGGTTATTGTATGGTGCATTCTCAAAATAAAAAGGGTTATATCTCACGATTTTCGCAGCCGGGCAGAAGCTAAACCCGGAATAAGATATCACTGTGAATACATTGTAGTTAATATACTGAAGACACCTCTCAATGCCTCCTAATATGCATACAAAAACGGCTAGAATCTTCTTCAAAACCACGTTCTCAACAGAACGCATCCTGCAATTGACCTTTCACACACTGCTGAACAATCTAGAGAGCCACTCACACATAAGCTGCGTTTATACATCGCGATTTGAGCGATTCAGTCGCATGATCTGAGAATCGCGAGAATCACGGACGCGCCGAACCATTACACTCAATCATTGGACCGCTGCAACTCAATGGAAATACATTCGAAACCTCTTTCAACCGTTGCAATCCAAAAGCTATACTTGGAACGCAGTCCAACGCAGTCGCGCGACTGAATCACTCGAGTCTTGAAGTATGGATATGGCCCAACTGGTGGTACCTTGCAAGCGTCCATATAACGATGTAGCGAGGAACGCGTACGAGCGTAATGATAAAAGCGCCCAGTGCGGCTGATCCAAGGTGATAGCGAAAAAGGTTCCATAGTGAGCCAGACAAAGGCGATCGAGGTGTTGGTGACGCGAATCGACGAGAGATTGACAACCTGCAATTCTTTTCGATGTTCCTTTTTACTTTTCTTTCCTGTAAGCACCGCAACATCATTTTCCCAACGGGTTCAACGGTTCCACAAGCCCAAACCACAGCAGAAGAGAGTCTTGCACGGCAAGCCTCGACATGAGAAAGTACACATCTCTCGAAGGTTTTTTTCGAGACCACCAAAGCTAACTTCAGTACCAAATCACGAATTCCCCTTTCCCAACGTTTCTACACCTGAGCCCATCACCGCAGACCCTTCCTAACAAGCCATAAACAACCCCTCTTTGAGGGCACCTCTGTCGCTGTGGAAAATTTTCTCAAAGTGTACACCCTCGGAATGTGCACCTCTGCCCCGCTTCCCCATCCCGCTTCCGAACTACATGTTCCTAAATTCCGGAGAAATTTCTTCACTTCTGTAACCATGCCGTGTACCCCTTCTGGATAACAGGAACGGAAGATACAGTTGAAATCTGGTGCACTTACACATCGAAGTAGTACATGCTAACAGCTCCAGCAACAAACAGTCTTTGACATGCCATAAAAAATTCCGTGACCCATACAAATCCAACAAACTGGTAAAACATCATAAGCCTATAAAACGTTCTTTACTTTTTCCTCTCTCAGATCAAAAGAAGCAGTACTTTGTTGTTCGTGTCATATTCGTCTCTATAATAAGTATGCTGTCCTCTTTGCTATCTCCATTCGCAACCCTCCTGCTAACCATATCACCTTAATCACTGATCTTTAGAGAGCAGATGACTTACTCACGGAGACCTTGAAGGTAAATGCCGCAATGATCGAATGGGCGGAGCCTCTGTACTAAATTGAGTCGTCATTGGTTAGTCTCTTCTGCCGAGAAGAGAGAGAAGAAAGAGAAAGTCAGAATGGCTATACCTATCCGCTCATTTCTCCGCCCATCAGGTTCCTGCGAAATGCGTCCACAGAAGGTAAGAAAAATGAATACGGTACACAAAAACTGCATGAGCAGTACTGTACCTGCAGTGAACAGTACTAGCACTACACTTAAAGTATATACTGCAACCATAAGTATGAGAACAGCATTAAGCAACGGCTGTAAGAGTAGCATCGGCATTGAAGAAAGAGCCTAAAACACGGAAACCATCACGATATCCTTTGCTAGTCAGTGCCAACTATTATCATTCCATGTAGTACAATCTTGCCCGCCGCGGACGAGGGAGCGTCCCGAGAGTGCGGGAGGGGCTGACCCCAGTGCGGCAACAGCCTGTTCTCCACCAATTGTACAAGCTCGCAGGCGATCACATTTGGTTGAGAACAATAAGTACGTCAGTAAGGCTCAGGTAAGCGTTGTTGCACACAAAGCCCAGCCCCCCCCCCAAAACGCCTCAGGGTTCGCAGTGAAGAAAACACATCTATGAAAAAATGCATACCAGTGAAGCTCCTTTGAATAGTCGAACCATTTTCTTTCCCCGCGGTAGCACACACCATACAATCGAAATGACAAATATCTGAAAGTAAATGATAGTACTGAACATGGCAAATATACATTCCACTAAGTTTAAAGACCACACTAAAACTCACGTCAAACAAAACAAAGGTAAAGAACGGAATTTGCAACTTTCCGGGAAGTATCCGGAAACAGACTATATCTCCCAAATATCCTCTTAGGTTAGAGCGCGAATTCGGGTTATTCTATACTGCAATATCGAAACACAAAGGCTTTTACTGGTAGAGATGTGAAGAACAACCCTAAATGTGCCTAACCACTGGCTGGGTAGCTGGCTGGTACCCAGCCAGCCAAGTACTGCTCAAAGACATCCGGCCGCCGTTGCTACCTTCACCTACCAGACGGCTTTAGCACCCTATTTCTTATGTAAACCTTCAGAATACTTTTTCGAACCGCAGTTTGGCTTGGCGGGCCAAATAATGGAAACTTTATATCACTTGAAGCTTCTAATCAAAAAGCTTTAAAAAAATTAGAAGGAGATAACTCGAAGTCTCTCAACGGAACGGGAGCCATGAAAAGCCTCCTCTGCGCAGCCTTCTCTATTATTCAGTGCATTTCAAAATTGAGTAGCATTCATAAAAAACAAATCACCAACCGAAATTGCTGTCGCTCCAAGTCCGACTCCGAGAAGAGTCAGCAAACTCGTGTCCTCAAAATTGAATAACGCATCCAAACGAACATCTTCGAACAGCACTGCTTTGGTCAAACGTTGAGGACTCGATGATAGAAGTGCCGTGGTATTTCCAAGCTCCACCACATCAGTGGAATTAGTAGATTCAACGGAATTTTTGTACACTCTATAGAACGCATACCATAAAGTTCCGGAAAATCCTAAAATATTACAAATTATAAACAACAAAGGAAAGAGAAAGAAAGAAAAGAAAATATATATTAGTTCACCTTTGGACTTGTGGAGAAACTTCAGATATGTGGCGTGGGGGTGGGGGGGGGGGTCAAGAAACCTGTCTTAATGAGTAGGCTCCGTTGCTTTAGGTAGGTTCTGAGCCCCTTGCAATCAATATTCTGGAGCCTTATATTGTTGAAACAAATATGTGATAGAAACTTTTCTAAGAAGCTTTATCGGGCTAGAGATTATGATTAACTTTACAAACCAGAGTTTAGTTGAGGGAGTTGGGGGGGGGGGTGTAAATGCGACGCGACTACTACGATGACTCTAATCGTATGTGCTCTTGTACTCCCAGGGAAAGAAGGTGCCATTCTATCGAATTAATAGAAGGCAAAGGCACAAAAGACTATCAGCAGAGAAAATACCAACTAAAATCTAAAGTTGCAGCACTTGTTCGAGTCATCTAGCTAGGACGCTTCATCGACCTGGGAGCGTCGCTCCATCTTCAGTCTCATGAACACAAGTGCTCTGTACTCCGCATGTGTAGATGGTGGAGCGGTCCGTCTCAGAAAGACCTGGTGATAATCACCGCTCCCTGCTTTTTTGAATTCTTAGAATCCAAAGTCAAACTTTTTAAAGATTTTAAAGAACAATTGAAATATCCTTCTAGGACGCTACCCTATCCATCCTTTGGGGCTCTGACGATTTCACTTTTTCGATTTTCTTTAACCTTTTTAGTTGCATTTACCACTCTCAATCACTATCAGACTCTTGTCATGTTCCAATCAACACCTCAGAAGACACTCCACGCTGCTCATGTGGGCGGAGACAGTCAGCTATAGAGCTGCCCTAATTGGATCTCCTTCTTCTTCACCAGCCCAGCAAAAGGATTAGTCAACTAAGGAGAAATGCTCAATGTTTGACTCCTTCCTGTATTCGCCCACTTAAATCTCGAGCGACATTCGCACCATCTGATTCGTCTCATTTTAGAATAGGTTTTTTTAAGAATTCTTCTTTGCTCTGTTTTGCTGCTCTCTATCTATAGTAATAGTTCGAATCTTCCGGAGAACATTCGCAGAAAAAGGCTAAGTTCCTTTCATCTGGAGATAGTTGCCTCTGAAAATAATGCATAAGAATTTTGATTGTCTTCAAGGCAAGACGGCGGTTGTTGCCAGCGTCATTGGTGGAAGGTCTGCGAGAGGGCGTCTTGTTACACTACGTACACTACTCAGCCCTTCTACCAATGACGATGGCGACAACCGTCCGCCCCAGCCATCGTGTCCACTGCCTTTGAAGACAGACCCA